AGGCAGCCGGCAATCATCATAACCTTCATCAGTGTTTTGCTTTATTTTTTTTATCCTTTTACTGTCAGTGCCCATCCAAGGTAAAGGAGAAGGGCTGCGTTAGGTGATCAACATCCGGCATAAAACATAGTTGGATATCTATGAATAAATCCTTAGATTCTTAAGAGGAGTAAGATTTATGTGTCTGACCGAGAAAATTGGCATAAAGTCTTTTTGTTGTTGGTGTTACTCGGAAAGAACAAGTTAGGCAACTTAGGCGTCACCTGCTTGAATAGCACTCCTCATTGCAGGAGTTCTAATTTCTACTTGACTCTACAATGATTCAAGATTTTTACTGGTCTTTATGCTTGGAATAATATGTGCATGATCCAGGTCAAAGTGTGCTTCAAAGTTCTAACCCTAAATAGTGAGATGATAGATTTTTGAGAAAAGGAGTGGGATGTGCATTCTCATAGATCATATACTGTAAATAAATGGCTACATGCACAAAGAGAACAGGGCAGGAATCATGACCCTGGGTTACTTACACTATCAAGAAACATTGGTGTACCAGGATTTTGTGAGTTGAACTACAATTTTCATCACTGACATGCATCTCAATGTAATTCGGGGACCTTTGATATGAATAAGTTATGAAACAATGTATAGGCTTTTAGAAACAATGTTCTCTTGGAGCATGAAAGTAGGAGACCTGCTAAAATTGCTGGGTTACAGTCATAAAAGATTAATGAGGAGTTCCGTGGTCTATATTAATTTGCAACCTCGTGATAGTTATAGAGCATAATTTTCATCTGCTTAGTTTATTTGACAGATGGTGTTTCCTTTCTAGAATTGGCTCGTGTCTATCTACAGTGGCAGTAGAGACATCTTTAGAAAGCTGAACGTGACCCATGTCAGTCATATTGGACTAATTGCAGAAACACTGTGGCTTTAGAATTCAGTGGAACTTGTTGCCAATTAATCTATGGTTGATAGAATTACAAGTGTTAATATTTGCTCAAACACAGAAAGCTTGAACGAACTTGAGCACTTGAGTTCACTCTACAGGAAAACAAAGAACCCATCAAGTTTGTGTTGTAAAACAGAATTCTAGAAGCATATAAGTTCTTGCCATGATATATGATATCGTGATGAAAGATAAATTCAATGGCTTGAAATGCGTAACAAGCATCACAGAGTGCAAAACGCAGTAAACACTTGATGATGAAGTGATGAACATATGAGGATGGTGACCTTTCTTTTTTTTTATTCAAATGCCTCATCATTGAAATATGAGACGAGAAGAGCGAGTGAGAGCAATGCTACATGAACTGGCCTATAACTGTTAAGCAATTGCATAGTCAATAGAAGAATGTGTGACTTAAAATGCTATAATTGGTGGATTTGAAAGTACTTTTGCTGGTGAATATGTAGAGAGTAGATATAAGGATTTTGGAAAGGACGAAGATAGTTATAATGATTAAATGACGAGGCCCAGAAAGAGCGTGCCTGCTTAAGGATGTGTTTGCAAGCACAATGAGTGGGTTTTCTGCTTCATTCGTATTAAAAGTGCGGTAGTTTTGTTACCAACTAGGGCCTAGCCACACAAAGCAAACAGGAAAATAAATTCCTCTAATTGCAAATTGTAGCAGAATTTAAATTATCAATTTTCTATATGCAGATAATTAGGTACAGTTTCTTTGGACTGAAGGAGGCGTTCGGATCTGCACCATCCTGGCTCTTATGGCTAAGGTACATGTTGCTGCATTTGACATAATCCTACTTGTTTTCATGTGTTCATGTAATTTAAATGTGAGTATATAATTTCAGGTACAGCACCTTTTTGATCTTATACCCTTCTGGCATCACAAGCGAGGTCGGCATGATATATATAGCTCTGCCCTACATCAAGGTACTAAAACTGTTTTTAGATTGGGTTTCATCTATTTGCTATCATGAGTGAATGACTTCATCCTTCGGTTTTTGGTAACGGCAGGCCTCTGAAAAATACTGCATTCGGATGCCAAACAAGTGGAACTTCTCTTTCGATTACTTCTATGCGGCTATCATTGCTCTTGGAATTTATGTCCCGGGTATGTATCTGATCTTTTCACATTCTTTGTCGATATTTATCACACAAAAATTGTTACTTCCTCTTTGGTCACTGCTAAACTTCTTTTGTTGGAACGCATTTTGTCATAGGGAGCCCACACATGTATACTTACATGCTAGGGCAGCGAAAGAAGGCTCTTTCAAAGGCGAAGATGGCATGAAATGTCATGAAAGTAGGAATAGTAAATATTTTTTTCTGTATTATTTGAAGAATGCATAGTTGTTAGATGGTGGCTCTGCATGAGTGGTTGTATTGGTGTTCTCTAATCCCTAAGATAGTCTTCTTGTTAGCAAGGAGTGCTCTTGGTATAGTTGTGAATGTATTCCTCTGAAAAAACAGATCGTCGATGTTTTATGATTTATTGATTAAATGTGTTTGCTTTCAGCTGGGTGCTCATCTCAAAACGCCTTATTTTATGAAACGTGATAACGGTGAACTTATTTGCATTTCTTGTTTGGTTATGTTCACTGTCTAAAACCTACTATAATACTTCTACAGACATTTGTTTAAAACCTAGAGGGGTTTCTACTTTAAGGATTAAGGGTTCATGTTTGTTTTCCTTCTTCAATTATGTCGATTTTTTAACTGAAGCAGTTTCAGAAAATGATCGTTTGTTAGCTTAATTGGAGGAAGATTTCCAACAATTTTCCATAACTGAATTTAATTTGCGGTAATAATTATGTAATTTTCAGGATAATCTATAACAAAATTCTTTATGACGTTCTTCTTTCTTGACAAGAAGAATCATTTGTGCTTAGTCTATTGTGTTTTTTGAAAGGTCATGTGCCTTTGTTTTCCTTTGGTAAGCTAAATGCATTGTCTCTTAGGATTTAGGAGTTCAAAGATGACTTTACAGAGTTGATGTACACTTGATTGGCCTCCTGGGGTAAAAATTTATTCAGCATTTTTCCTGCAGAAACTTTGGAGTACAAAAATGAACCGAGCATCACAAATCCTGCAAACAATGAAGATTCATGTGCTATTTTTATCTAAGAGTTGGTAAAACCAATTTTGAGATAATAGAATTATAAATCAATTACTTTCTAGTGAATATCTCTTGTGATTAGGTGAAAGTGATATAAGATAAACAAGATTTCCATTTTTTGTATTATTTCTATTCAGATATTATTATATAGACCTAGACTTGTCCAAACGGGGGGCCCAGCTCGGCCCGGCCCGACCTGACCCGACCCAGATTTTTGAGTTTGGGCCGAGCAAAATGCCTAGCCCGGACCCTAATTTCTGGGTCCGGGCTGGGCAAAATGCCTATCCCGAGCCTGGGTCCCGAGCTCCTGGCAGGCACAAAATTTTTGTTTCATTTTTTTGTTAAAGAATTACTAAAATTTTAGATTAAATTTTTTATATTTATATAAGTATGTATTAGTATATACTTACATATCAGTATATAGCTATATATTATATATACATATATTATATGTAAATATATTGTATACACCTATAAGTTATAACTTGAGGGAGAGAATCATATAAGTATATATTACTTATTTGTATTATATAGTTACATATATGTATTTGTTACGTACTTATATTATGCTTATTTAAATATAGTTATATACTTTACTTATATGATATACTGCGTGCAATATACTTATATATAATTATACTTATGTTCTTATATATACTTATATGACTATAAGTATATAATATACACATATAAGTATACTTATAACTGTATTATATATACTTACATCTTAGTATCAATATCATGACAAGAGTATATATAAGTATATAATATAATACACTTGTATACTTACAAGTGTGTGTGTGTGTGTATGTACTTAAGTAATTAAACGTATACAACTACATACACTTAGGACTATGAAGCTATGGCCATTTTGTTGGATATCATGTCCCCATGATATACTTTTGATGATAACAATTTATTTATAATGTTAATCACTATGTGTATGTACTAACATTTCAATGTAGTTATCAACATGAACAAGTACAAGATGAGTTCAAGGAATCACTATGTGTATGTACTAACATTTCAATGTAGTTATCAACATGAACAAGTACAAGATGAGTTCAAGGCATCAAGAAGTAAAGAAGCATGAACAAGTACAAGATGAGTTCAAGGCATCAAGAAGTAAAGAAGATGAAGAGCTTATGTATCAATATGATTTTTATATTTTCTTTACTTAGAAATATTGTACAAGCCTTGATCACTCACACACACACACACACACATAGATATTAGAACATATTAACACATGCTTAATGTGTTGGTTAACAATAGAAATCCCCTATGTTAACTATTAGAGTATTTAGTTAATCATCGAGTCTAAAATATTTCATACATGACATTTTCACCCCTTAATAGTCGAATAATTAGATTAGTAGTCGACTACTGAAGTCTAAGATCAAAATATAAGTTTGTGTAAAAATACAGAGTAGTCGATTACTAAGGATTATAGTCGACTACTCAACTTTGAATTTTGATTTCCAGAATTTATGTTTTACAGAGTAGTCGACTATAATTGATTATAGTTGACTACTGAGCTTTGAATTTTGAATTCCAGAACTTCTGTTTTACAGAGTAGTCAACTACAACTGATTATAGTCAACTACTCAGCTTCGATTTTTAAATTCCAGACTTTCTGTTTTACAGAGTAGTCGACTAATGACCATTATAGTCGACTGCTAAGACAGTTTTTAGACATATCAGAATTCAAATTAATAACAGTTTATAGCCGTTTTGTGTACGTTTTTAGGGTTTGAAAACCTGTCTTTTCAAGGCTATAAATATGATAAATGTTTAGAATTTTGAGACACAAATTCTTATACATAAGATTCAAGTTTTGTGCATCTTTCAAAAGAAAATTTTTCAGATTTTTACTAAGTGTTGAGAAAAATCATTTTATGATTTTGCCTTTGATCCTCATTCAATATACAATCAAGTTAGGCAATTTTCAGAAATTAAAAGCGTTCCTAGCTATTGCTACACATCACACTACTATCAAGACTTATAGGAATCAAGTTGTATCAAGACAAGTATTCTCTCGGCTGTGAGAAGTGTAATCTCTTGGTGAAGAGATTGTGTGTAATTTGCAGGGACTTGCAAATTGGTCAGGCTTGATGTTTTGATTTGTAAGTTTTTCAAAATCATAGTGGAACTATCAAGCGGGATTTGCTTGGGGAATGGATGTACACCTGAGAGGTGGAACCAGTATAAAATATTATGTTTGTGATTGTTATTTTCTGTGGTTATGCTATTTCTTTGCAAATTATAATCTTCTTTGCATTAATTTTTAATAGAATACTATTCACCCCCTGTTTGTTGGAAATTTGCAGTAAAAAGACAAAGAAATAAAAATTAACTTGTATTCTCTCAAAATCAATTACAATTTGGATTCCGATTACAAAAGAGAGGAGAATGAATTTGATTCTCCCCTTTGTTTAAAATTGGGTTCTTCTTGGTAGCGATGGAGTGCCTCCTTCGATTGCTTGTGTCGAACTTGCTCTCCGTTGACGATCCGACCGTCATATCTCACGAGACCGATTGAATTGCTTGATGACTTCGGTTTAGAACTCTTAACGAGTGTAAAGAACTCAGAACGAGTTGAAAACTCTGATAAGAGTTGTTGAAAACCGAATATCTGGTTTGATGTGATTAACTTGGTTTGCAAGCTTAATCACGAACTCTTAAATGAGTTTCAAAACTCAGAGCGAGTTGGAACTCTGTAACAGAGTTGTTGGAACCGAAGATTCGGTTAATTGCCAAGTGGATTATGCCGTTGATGAAGGGATCCTCTGGGATTCGATTAACTGATCGTTGATCAGTTCCTTGATCTTCAAAAGATCTCCTTCGTGTTGTTGAACTGCTGAGATTTGTTGATCTTGGGCGGTTTTGATGCCAGCTCACCTCAACCCTATGCGGTTTTACTGCCAGAAACCGATCAACCCCTTACTCAGTTGAGTAAGCCGGTTATTTATAGGGGGATAAGGGGTGTAACCAACCCCTATTTCCGCTCCTTTGTGGGCGAGAATCCCTCAGAACGTGGGATAAACGGTTATGAGGCCGTTCAGCTTGTGTTTGAACAAGTCAAAACGCCCCAGTTGGCGTTCTAGTCCGTAACTCTGTGTCCAAGGCTTGAGACGCAGAGTTAAATCTCTATTGGGGATTTGAGACGCACGGGCCATGTGCGTTGAAGCTCAACTCTGCGTCCAGAGTTTGGGGCACATAGCGTTGAAGTTCAACTCTGCGTTCAGAGTTTGGGACGCAGTCGAATCTGTCGAAGAACGCACGTTACGTGTGCGTTTCGTGATTTAACTCTGCGTTACAGAGTTCGATGTCTGCTGAGGAACGCACAGGTTGTGTGCGTTTTGAATTTAAAAAACGCAGAAGTGAATTTCAGCGTTTGAGAGAGATTGTTGGCTTGTAACCTCGTCCATTATAACATTACAAAGGCTATTGCTTATTGATCTTTGCCTGTTATAGGATATGAGAGTCGTCAGATTGTAACTCTTACTGTTGGTTGCGAATGCCACTGAACAGAGTTTTCATCAGCTGTCGGAAGCGTTGTCGAATTGTAACTCTCCTCGATTTGTGTGAAAAGTCCTCTGTCTGCAGCTTTCGATTGTCGGCGCGAAAGCTATTTGATTGTAGCTTTCGTTGTTGGAATTTGACGGGAATCAACATCCATAGTGTTTTTAGATGAATATTTGCCCACAGCTCTCTACCAAGCAACTCACCAGCTAAGTCCAATCTTTCATTTCTAAAATCATTACACTGCTTATCAGCATCTCTAATAGTTGTTAATATAATATTAGTCATGCTGTTGTCGCAACCATCAAGATCAATCATATCAGAAATGAGGTCGTGTTCGTAGCGGTTGTAGAGCTGCGGTTGCAGTGATTAGAAAGTCGTCTTCTCGTGACTTCTATTATCGGGGCTTGATAAGAGTCAGCTATCCATTGTGATTTTTAGACAGCCTACACCCCCCCCCCCCCCCCTCTAGTGTTTTAGTGTGATTGGATCATATCCTACACATTTTCCTCAAGAATTCCACATACACTTAGAAATATATATAAGTGTAAATTACGTGTATGTGTGTGTGTGTATTAGTTCTTGTGCACGTGCAATGCACGACATATTTTTTTATTTTCTTACTATAAAATAAGTCAGATTAATTTTGAGTTAAAATCTATAAACATGTATTATTACATTTTCCATAAATTTTATTTAAACATTTTTAAAAAATTTATGAAATAGATGAATAATTTTTAAAATCCCTTGGGGGTAGGAATAAACAACTAACAAGTTTGCAGTGGAAGATAGGGGAACATAGTACATTCTTAAGAATTATTTATCTTTACTTAGTTTGTTTATAATGATAGGATCTCATTATTAACTAACTACAAGGTTTAGTACATTTTTTTGTTGGACGTTCAAGGCAGGCTGAGGACCCATGTGAGCCATCATTGCAATGAATGTTATACAATTTAAGTACAAAGAAAAAAGGAAGGTTGATCAATTGTGTAGCTGGTGAGGAGAATCCCCAACAGCTTAATTTGGTATGTAGATTTATAATAGATGGAGATGGAGAATGATGGTTTTAAAAATAGTGGGTGTGTGTGGGTAATTAATATGATTTTTGTTTGTGTGGTTTTCTTTGTTCATTTTTAAGATATCTGTGGTCCTGCGGATATATATAGCAATAATATTGATACTCTCGTTTGGTTTTGTGAGTTTGTGTGTTAAAAAATAAAATTATCAAATCCGGTTAAAGTAGGATTATATAAGTTAAGCCCATACATAAATTTTGTTTTAACCAACACCCATGTGTAAATATTACAATTGGCATTGAGATTTAAGATATGTGTGAGATTCTCTTTATGTGTAAATATTACAATTGGCATTGAGATTTAAGATATGTGTGAGATTCTCTTTGATTTTTATACAAACAGTATCTATTTAAAATTGGCATTGAGATTTAAGATATGTGTGAGATTCTCTTTGATTTTTATACAAACAGTATCTATTTAAACAATAATAGTATAATTAAACTATATGATTTGAAAAAAAAAGATCAAACATACAATATAAGTAATTATTTTAAAATAATCTAATATAAAATAATAAGAAAAAAATAACAAAGGCACACACATCTCGAAGGAGATGAAAGTGCTATAAAAATTATTGTAATTATTGATCTAAAAAATATCAAATATATAATATAATTAATTTCTTTAAAATAATCTAATCTAATCTAATAAGAAAAAAATAGATGAAAGTGCTGTGAAAATTATTGATATTTCTTGATATGAAAAAAGAAAATATACAATATAATTAATTGCTTTAAAATAATCTAATAAGAAGAAAATAACAAAGGTATATACATGTAGAAGGAGATGAAAATGCTATGAAAATTATTGTAGTTTCTTAGCTTATAAGCATTGGTATGTGATGTTGCATGTGAGAGGATAACAATTATAAATAGAGTCCTATGTAAATAATAATATTATAATTAAACTTTAAAACTATTTATGCAGTATTGTGAATTACTTGAATTTTAGTTGGTGAGAGATTGCCACATTATGTCCTCATATCGCAGCCGTTTGTTTTAATTTTCCTTTTTTATAATTTTCAGAATGATTTTGTCTCTTTAATTTATTTGGTGGATTTTGCAAATACCTCGTTCACATTATGTACATTTGTAGGTCTGTGATGTTCCGATGTTTGACCTCTGAGGCGGACATTATTTGTCTCACTAATTTGCTTGGTTTTTTCATATACGTCATTCATCTTGAATACATTTGTAAATTTGGCATTTAATAACTTTATTCAGGTTTACATTTCAATTTAAACTATATACTTATCTTCATACTATGTATATGCAATAAGAATTCATCAATTTATCAACTTTCTCTTACTTAATGGATTAGTATTTGAATTTTAAAGGTATTTTTATCTATTAAAAGATTTCTCCAAACTCTTACTTTTAAAGGGAGTATGAAATATATAAATATATATATATATCACTTGATTGAGCTACATTGTGGATAATCCGCTCCGTTGAACTTGATCTACATATTCTAAAACCCCATCACACCAAATTTGGGGTGAACCCGTCGTGGTTTGACCATTCATCCACTTGTATCAGTTTTAACGGTTTAAAATGAATAGAACTATTTACGTGGTTTGACCATTCATCCACTTGTATCAATTTTAACGGTTTCGAATGAATAAAACTTTTTACATGGCTCGACGGAGGGTCAAACTATGACAGGTTCACCCCAAATTTGATATGTTGGGGTTTTAGAATATGTAGATCAAGTTTAACGGAGCGGATCATCCCCGGGCCCGGTTCAGGCCCGACCGAATCCGTACCGGGTTTGGGCTGAAGTCCAATTGGACACCCCTATATAGACCCAACAAGTAAGCATAATAAAAAATAGCAATAGGCTAACTATCACTTAAATGCCACAATGTTTTTCTGGTTTTGTACTTATATTCTATGAATTATTTTTTGTGACAAATAAATGTCATAAGCTGTTTCAAATTAGCACGTTTGTACTCTTGATCGTGCAAACGTGAAATTTTTTACATATATGTTCCAATATATGACACTAGCATGTTAACTATATAACTTTCTAACCATTTTAAAGTATAATTGAGACAGGTTAAAAAAAAATTCTGGTTGATTTAATAGTAAATTTAATAAATATTAATAGTTACAAAACTCTAGAATTAACATGTAAGTATAATATTTACGTGCATGATCAAAGACACTGATATGCTAATTTTAAATAATTTATAGTATTATTCAAGCGCGCGTTGGCCTGCTATCCAAAAAAAAAAAAAATAAAGAAAGAAAGAGCGGCGCGCGTTGGCCTAACAAAACTAATTTCGCCATTATTTTTAATGGATTCGGGTACAGACACTGGTCAACCCGAACCAAAACGCGTACGAACGACGCCAGATAAAAGAAGTTGGCGCAAGCAAAATCTCGGGAAGGGTTTTCCCTGCAAAATCCCACGATCTCAATCAAAAACTTGGAGAATCCAAAGATCGAATCTGCTCCTAAACTTCTTCATCTATAAGCAATAATCACTTCTCATCGACAAAGAGGAATCGTTGCGGTTTCGATCCATCGGCGACGATGAGTTTCCTCTTTGGGAAGAAGAAAACCCCTGCCGGTAATTTCTTTCCCAATTCCTTTCCTTTTTGGAGTTTTCGATTGAATTCTTTGAGGTTTTTGATTGATTTTAGAGCTTTTGAGGGAGAATAAGCGGATGCTGGATCGATCGATTAGGGAAATTGAGAGGGAGAGGCAGGGATTGCAGAATCAAGAGAAAAAGCTCATCACAGAGATCAAGAAGAGCGCCAAGCTAGGGCAGATGGTAAAAAAATCGTTTCTTGAACTCAATTTTTGTTTGAAATGTGTAATTGTAGCTGCTTGGGGTTTTAAAGCTTTCAAATTTAAGTTTGAAACTATTAAGTGAACTGTGGGCATCTGATCTCTGCATATGTATTCAATAGATAGTATAATTCAAGCATGTAAAGAGTTAATTAGTGGAATTAGAGCCTAGGCCCATGGTTGATTAGGCGATAAAAAATAAATTCAAGTTAGATTATTCATTGACCTGTCAAGTAGAAGCCTTTATTGACATTTTTTGGTAATGCTTCTATGAGCCCGTGTCAGATTATATGCAACAATAGGATCAAATTGAAAACACTTGCAGTTAAGTGTATCATGATTTTGGTACGATTAACTGTTACTCTCTCTGATCTGGATGAATGTAGATTAAGAAATTTATTGATGATAATGTTTGTTCCACTCATTACTATATTAATCCAGACGTCGCTTGCTTATTTAGAGTTGACAATAGTCAAGATAGGGCTGAAGCATGTAGTATGTTCTGGAGGCTTTAGACTACTGCCAATGCTTGTTTACATTCTTTCTGGTTCCATCGTCAACAGTTTGCATTACAGAAATCGACTTATTATGTTGACATCTTTCATACTTAGGAAACAGGTGGACCTACATCTTAGTGTTTAGTGCCATACTCATTAAAATTACAAAGAAATTTCTGAGGTATGCAATAATGATTCATTCATAATGTAAATACTTTGCGGTTTAATCTGCATAACATATCTATCATATTTAAATTGTTCATCTATTTGTCTGGTTTTGCTAAGTGAGATATACATCACCTATTTTATTTTCCTCAAGGCAGTGATCTCTGCAACAGGAGGGCTATTTGCAGTTTCTCTTTCAACATTGCATGGACAACTTATATCTTTGATTAACACCGATTGAGGTGAGTGTAGAATGAGGAACTGCGAAATTAAGATAATTAGAACAGAGGACAATATGATATATCATGTGATTCATGTGAGTACCGGATGCACATGACATGTTATAACTAGAGCATGTCTTCTGATGAGCCAATCATACCATTAATCTGATATCATAATGCAGTGTAAACCAAAATTTAGAATTCTTATTTTGAGAAGGCTTGCATAATGATGGCTGTATTACCATGAATTTGTCCAGTTGAATTTCTCAGCTCATTCATTAATTGTGAAATGCTGATGCCAGTGAGTTAACAGCAGTTTCAGAATTAGATACCTTTTATTACATGTATTATTCACTTTCCTGGTTGCAGCTTGCACCTTATGGCTCTTGGCTTTGGAGGCTGTCAACTTCTAATTATTATTTGCTGATTATGTTACTATGTATTATGTTTGTCTTTTATCTAAGATGATGAAAATTGTTTTATTCATGGGTGCCTAACCATTCACAGCTAACTGTACACAGGGTGCTATCTAAGATGATGAAAATTGTTTTATTCATGGGTGCCTAACCATTCACAGCTAACTGTACACAGGGTGCTGTCAAAGTCATGGCAAAAGACCTCATTCATGGGTGCCTAACCATTCACAGCTAACTGTACACAGGGTGCTGTCAAAGTCATGGCAAAAGACCTCATTCGAACAAGGCATCAAATCACCAAGTTCTATGCTCTCAAATCTCAACTCCAAGGTGTTTCTCTTAGAATACAGGTACCACCTCATCTTTTTTGTTTTGTTTTTTTCCCCCCTCCATTCAACTCTATTTGATTGCAAATTATTTGAGATCATATCAAGGATTACTTTATCACTATCTATATTGTTATAGCAGGTTTGTAGTATATGTTTATGTGCTTTGCATTATGGTAATGCATAATTAATGGTTGGTGCACTGCAGTCACGAGAATACCAGTTGATTTTTCCTTTTCTTTTTAGTTTAGAAGTAACCTGATAGATACATGATACTTATATAAAGTGATTTGGTGGGGAAGCACTATCATGATAGGGAAAGTGCTGATTGTCTTTTAATTGATGAAGGCAGTGGCTTAAACAAAAGATTTTGGTGATTGATGCTTCTTGAATGTGACTAGTAAAAAGTTTTCATTTTGAATGGAGCTTCCTTGTCTTAAAATGTTTAAGCTGAGATCGAATTGGAGATTAATTTTGATCATTGATTTAAAATTTCAGTTATTATGTTGTTTCAACGGACTGCTAATCATCTTGTTTCAACGAATTGTTAATCAAGCTGTACCGGCAAGTAGGTGGTCAGTTTAAAATATTGTTGAAATACCAAGTAAGAAAAGGAGAAAAATGCATCCGTTCAAAACAATCTTTAACTCCAACTCTTTAAATGGAGATGGAGATTTGATGTCAAGGCTGCAGACTGTTTATTCAAGTCAAAATTTCCTTCTTCTCTTCTTATTTTCTTTGCCTTATCAGAAACTTCTAAGATGCAATTTTGGATAGAATATCAATTACAAAAGCAGGGTTTGTCTTAATTGTAAAGTCGGTATTTGGGCTTGGCCGAAATTTTCTGGATGGCTTCATTATTTTATTTGTTGCTAAGGTCATTCTTTTAATACATTGTACAAAGGATGGATTTAAGGTGAATAAAGGAAAAGAATTCATTTCTAAACAGAAGTTTTTCTTTCTTTTTTCCGTGAAGTATAATTTATCAATTACTGATGCTTGCAGACGCTAAAATCTACACAAGCAATGGGTGAGGCCATGAAGGGTGTAACCAAAGCAATGGGACAAATGAACAGACAAATGAACCTACCAGCCTTGCAGAAGATAATGCAAGAGTTCGAGAGGCAGAATGAGAAGATGGAGATGGTCAGCGAGGTGATGGGTGACGCCATTGATGATGCCTTGGAAGGAGACGAAGAGGAAGAAGAAACAGAAGAACTAGTTAGCCAGGTCCTAGATGAGATTGGTATTGACATCAATTCAGAGGTAAAAAAATGTTTTTGAAGATTTTGGGCTTAATTGCGGATAGACCACCTCTAGTTCTATCGTTGTAGATAGGCCCCCTGAGTGAACTTTCTCGACTCTTTTACCCTCAAAGAAAGAGAAATATATTTCCCTGACAAATGCACCTCCTGGGGTTAAAAGAGTCAAAAAGATCACTCAAGGGGTCTATCTGCAACAATAGAACTACAGGGGGTCTATCCACAAATAACTCGAAAGTTTAAGCAATTTAATCTTTGCACACAATGATGTAAAGTTATTGAGATATATTGTTTTTTTTTTCACAGCTTGTCAAAGCTCCATCATCTGCTGTGGCTGCGCCAGTTGCAGGAGGTAAGGTTGCGCAAGCTGAAACAAGTGGAGCTGATGGCGGTGGGATTGATGATGATCTACAAGCAAGGTTAGACAATCTGAGGAAAATGTAATTTATTTACCTTGCTAGTTTGAGATAATTGACTGGGGGAAAATGTATTATATGTATACCCTACCGTTTGGTATTCTCAAATGATTCAATGAGATTATGTTTGCATGCGTGTCACACATTTCTTTTAGAGATTATCAGGGTTCACAGTAGCTTCATATGGCACAGAACTCTGATGAATTCAATTCTATTGTTGCTCAAGGTAACACTTCCACATTTATATGTTATTATAGTTTTTTATGCTGGTTTGTGTTTCTATGGATTAGCACTGGGAAGCGTTTAAGAGATTTTGGTGTTCATTTAAATATTGGTAACACTGCACTCCCCACTGATTGGGGCGGTTTGGTTCAAATAAAAATACTAGTGCACCTGTAGTTTCTTCACAGTTGTGGGCTTGGACAAAACTGGTCGGGAGTAGTTTTTTGTTAAAAGTGGACTATCGTGAATTCTTTTGTTTTTACTGAGATGACAGGGACATCAATTCTAGATTAAACCCCCCATCATTTTCAACCCCCAGTAGCGCATTCTACATAGTTAATTCCAACACAAAACAAGATGCAATTGTCTGAAACTGACATTACTGTATAAAAATCTACGGCAAATTAGTCAACAAGTTGGCAAACGCTGTCATCGACCATGACCTCACATTTCCTCCCCTGGATTCATCCTGAAACCTTCATAAAATAAATAGAATGTAAAAAACAAAAAATGGACCACCAATACATCCACTGAATATTCAGTTTTTGCACAAAAATTTTGACTTCCAACACAAATATTCACAGCCAGTATCAACAAAATGACCCTTTCACAAGAATCACCACATGGTAACAATCACCACACTACCTGTCATCCCACCGGCCTCTGTCAATCCCCGCCGTCTCTGTCACCGCCTGCGCGGCGCCGCCCTAGGAGAACCGGTAGCCCTTCGGCAAGACCTCGTAGCTCGGCAGTTGGGCAGTTGGAGTGCGGAGTAGAGCCACATGATCCATACACGGCCCACTTGAAACGAGTGCTTGCATAGCCGGCAGCTGCTCACTCCTCTCCATCACGAACGCGCCCGTGCAGACGACACCGCAGCCCAACTCGCCGCGATCGCGCGGCCTGTCCGTTTCGCCGGGATTGCTGTACTTGGTCGCCGGAATCAGTCGAGAGATGTTGTCCCCGTGGTTTGAGACCGATAAAAGTCCTCTTGATCGGAGGAACCGTTTGAGGGACTGGAGGAGGGAGAAGCGAGAGCAGCAGCCGACGATGACCACGTTGGAGGCCAGGAGGAGGATGGCGACGACCGCGACAGCGACCACGAAGTAGTAGTAGTCGGAGATGTGGCTGGGTGGGGGGAGCTAGTGGAGTACTCGGAGAGCTCATTGTTTGTACTCGGAGAGCATACAACAGGTGTCTATGCGTTTGGTTAGATTTGGCTGCTTAGAAGGTTATATAAGGGTAAATTTTGTAAGGTCCCTCAACTTTAGGGGGCTTTGCAGGAAATTCCGCTAAACTACATAAATTGGAAAATTTTAGGATAAAGCTTTTTTTTTTCACTTTAATATCATGTCTGGCAGCAGCCAGTTTAAGTTGCACGTGTCATGTTTTAAACACTTTCGCTTCCTCTATCGGATTAATATAGGAAGATTGAAATAAGGGAATAAGTATGTTATGGGAATTATTCCAATAGGAATAGGACGATTTACAACCAAAAAAAAAAAAAAAATAGTTATCATTTATTATTTGCTGGATTTCCAATAGTAATTCTGGAAGTTCACAATACTTATCTTTTAATTTAGAAAATTTAGGAGGGTTTGTGCAGAAATCACAAAGTTCAAGGTTTTTGTTTATTTCCTTTATTTTATTATTATTTCATTTTTTGAGATTTACCTATTTAAATAATATAGGAAAATGTATGTATGGTGACGCGTTTGGACTTTTATAAGATTAGATTTGATCTTCGGATTATAAGAATCCGTTCGGGGATTAAGATTCCGATATGGGACTTGAATAAAATAATGGAAATGATAATGCCATGTTCTTGGATTCTTTTGTTTAATAGCTTGCGTTGGACGAGGGGTTTGGTTGGTACTTTTTTTAGTTGGTTTCTTTATCAACTAATGTTAGGGTTTAATATATATAGTTTATATTTTTAGGGTCGGCAAATTAGTTTGAAAGAGTAAGGTGAATTTTAACTAGATTTGCATTACATTTCTCCGTAAATATGCTTATGTAAACTTTATGTTTTTTATCTTTAAAACCATTCTGGTCTTGAAAATCACTAGTAAACTTAATAGCTACTATAGTCAAAACCATTATTTATGATCGTGAAAATTTTTAGTGGCGTGGTACTATCTGTTGAAATTGAGGTAGATGGTAAAAATTAACATAATTGAACACTCTCTAATTGCCATTTAATTGGAGAGGATCTAAATCTCATTGTAGTCTTTAGTCTTAAACGTTGGATGATCCAATCTTTGTTTTACTAATGGACCAAATTTAACTACGAGCAATATATCACAGTTCTTAGATAAATAACATAAATAGGAAAGCACTAAAATGAAAATAGCTTATTGGCCGTTCAAGACTTTGACATTTGCCATAACTCTAATTTAATTTTTTTTCTTCATAATCCCTCTTACAACTTAAACTTAGCAAGACGATTTTATTTAGAAATAAAAGATATCTATCTAATGACAAAATTAATTTTATTCCTAAATTAACTCAATTTAGCTTCTTCCGATGTACTTCTAAGCATTGAGGGGAGGAAAAAGATTCAAGAAATAAAGATGACATGTATGCACTATGTTAGCATTTAAAGAAAGTATTATTAAATAGTAATGATTGATCTTTTTGGAAAAAAAAAGAATATTTTATTTCAAGAAAGTTTTTCAATTTTTTCCCATATAAAATCCAATCGCCGCCCTCCTTCTTCCATAAATAGTGTGGTTAAAAGTAGAACAAAGAATATATTATTGGATACTATTGTTTGTCTCTCGTGCTAACCCCAGAAAGAGAAGGCAATTAAACATGAGGTCAAATTAATAAAAAAAGAAGAAAAAAAAGGAGTGAAATTCCTTTTGTACCATGAACCCCTCCAGGTTGATTAATTTAAAGTGAATTTTTTTTTTTTTTTGATAAATCCCAAAAAAATTACGCCGAGTGGAAGAAGATAACTACAAAGAACATCCACCTCAGCTGCATACTATTTAGCAAGTCCCTATCAAGTGGAGAGCATTGAGAATCTTGGAAGCAAGCTCAAGGACAAGAACTTGAGTAGAATTAGTTTTCTTAAAAAATACAGTTTTAATATATGGTTTTTAGCTTGATCGATCTTAAATATAGAATTAGCCATACTAATTTCATCTACTAATCTCATCTTATTCTTAGACTCGTAATATTGTAAATAATTTACATTATAGCGGATCATAAAAGCAAATACGTATTACGTTACTTGAAGGGCTTAATTGAGCTACAAATTAATTAAGAGTGTGATGTTGGACTCAAAAAAAAAAAAAAACAGGATAAGTTAAAATAACTTTTTTAAACGTAAAAAAAAATTAAAAATAAAAAAAGACGGAAAAAACTGTGCGTGTGACTACTTGTTGACTTAATGGCTGTAAATTGAAAAAAAAAACAAAAGAATGAGCATGAAGAATTTGTATTCTATTTTGAGCAGTGTAGGTGACCGAGATGGTTAAGAAATTTCAACATGACTTTCATAATATTGAGTTCGGTTCTTTATGAATTCATTATAAAAAAAAAGACTTTTTATTCTAATTCATTAGTCATATTTTTATTTTTGGGTGGTTCTCAATTCCTAGTTCTCAGTACACATTGAATGGACTTACGGCCCATAGAATTAGCTCTATGTTAGATACTTGTTATAAGTGACTTAGACGTAATTGTTATAGGATGAAAGTTCACCAAGCATCAATCTTTGTCGAGAAGTCAACACGTGTCCACTCCATGCTTAATCGGATCATTCCAGAACCGGCAACTCGAGTTGCACTTGCTCCCTATTGCTCTAACCGAAAACTTGCGTAGCCGACTGGAAAGACGATACTTGTTAGCCTACTCTCCAAACCGATCCTATGAGCACCCATACTCGGCTTATTGTTCCAGCCGACAACTTGCTCAACCGACTAAAAAGGGGTGTTTGTCGACCTTCGGCCAAACGACTAGAGAGGCGGTATATCCTCGAATCCCTCGCCAACAACCAACTACCATCGCATTATTGCTCTTACAAAGTCATAATTGCTCTAGCATCTACAGTCTTTATGATTCATTGAATCCGTTCAGCTCCAAGCAACACCTGTCTTCCCCCACAATAAATGACCGGATGATTTCTGCGCTAGTGGTCGACACCTGTCAGCTGTTTGCTGAGTTAGCTACCTGCCTAAACTTGGTCCGAGTTACCTATCTGTCCTTCTGATCCACTATAAAATGAAGTCATGCATCCCAAAGTGAGGGGCTGACTTTTTACGCAACTTTAAGACCTTCTTCATCATCTCACAATTTCCCACTCAAATTTATACACTGACTTGATCGTTAGAGGAATCACCGAAGAACCCAACTCTGACCTCTCACGAGTTCTTCATGTGCAGGGAAGAATATCGATCTACAGAACTAGTCATCTGAAGGAGTTTGAGAACCCTAACTCTATTTTAAATCCTCACATAAATCTCCTGTTCGATAACTGACATCAACAATAATCTCAAGTTATTTTGAAATTAATTCTTCCATTAATAGTAGAAGTAACAATTAGAGATCACGGAACCGAGTGGAGATCTTAGGGGGAGTTATTGGTTAGGACAAATTGGGACCAAGTAGGATAATTATTCCAGTGGAATAATTTTATCCCTTTGGGATATTTTGAGTGCGGTAAAGTGGATAAGTTGAAATAATAGGGCAATGTAAAATTTTGATTTGACAATAATATGTGATAATTGATGATGTGACACCTTATAAAAATATAATATTTATTTATCAATCAAGTCTAAATTAATTTAGCCAATTGGTTTAGTGTATTATTTAATATGTTATTATAATACAATGCATGATTTTACTTTGTACTAAAATTGGTGTGCCATAGAAATATGCAAGTGTTAATCACATCCAACTAGTTGACACGTGTCTCAAGCAGACTA